GACATTTATATAAAATTTTCGGATGATGGCCTAGAAATGACTTCGTTATCCTAGGATTGATATCAATTGGATGAAATATCCACAGCTAACAACATTATATCTACATGTCGACGTATAGAGTGTCCGAAAAATTGAAAATAAATGTAAATAGCTCTTTAACAGGTAAATCGATTTTCTTGATTATTGTTTTGTATTTGATAGCCTGTTCCTTAGTTAATTTTATTTCATTCAAATTGATTTACAACTATTGTTCAAAATGATTATCATCAGAATCTAACAGAAATACATAAATCCAGCTTTTTCAAACTATCAGAAAATATATTATTGAAAGCGTTTTTTTCGAAATTATTCTAATTTCATTTTCAATTCATCAAGATCTTTAACAGGAGTCGTGTAGATTTTGTCGTTCGTGTGTCATTTAGAGAAAAAAATAACTTTTATTCTTATATTTATAGCTACGGACATTGTATCCATAATAAAAAGAATAAAATATTTTATAAATGTTCTGAAAAGGATAGATTTATGTATCTCTATTGACGATGGTCATTTTGAACAATTGTTGAAAAATCAATTTATATGAAATGAACAAAAATCGAAGGACAATGCTATTAAATAAAAGAAAAATCGATTAAAGAACTATTCACATTTTATTTTCAATCGGATTTTTGAGATATCCTGCACTTTGATTTCCGTGTTATTTACAACTGATCATTAGCTATTTTGCTTTACTTATATGTATATAAAAACAAAAAAGAGAACGAAAAGCAAATGACCATATGTATGTGTGATTTTAACATGAAAAAAACAATAAGAAAAACTCTGAAAAACTCTTGTATACACTTGTAGACAATAGGCGCTTACTCTTAGTCTTCTTTTTTTGATATTTTAAACTCGACTTCTTGTTTGAACTAAAGAAATTTTGTTTTATAACCGAGTTTTCGTTACAGAAAAGCTCAAGCCTTTGAAACTTAAACTGGTCATTATTACGCGCACGCGCAGTCCTCGAGACTGTCTTTCTGTAACTTTTGTCTGAGAATATATACGTCATACGTCATCGAAATAATTTTGATGATTGTCTTTTCTCTAGTTAAGCGTTAGGACGACGATGACTAAGTGGATGGGTAACCACTACTGAAGATCGAATCATCAATCTCAATGACTACTCGCACAGTAAGGATCAATTCAATTTTTTCATGTCTTGAGCTTTTCTTTAACGAAAAAACGGTTGTAAAACAAAATTTATTTAATCTTCTTTTTTGGTTCAACGTGTGTTTGTTTAGTAAATAGATTAAATAAGTTAAAATATCTAAGACAAGAATAAAAGAACAAAAAGAACATTATTACAAATGACAACAAAATCGTATGCAAACCAATGAAATTAATGATTTCACACATGTCGACAAAAAAAATTGATTTTTTAATAGGCTTACAAAAAAAAATTGCAAAAATGACAAACTGACATGCTTAATAAAAAAACTTTCCGATCGACAGAATAAAATAGATAAACAAGCGAAAGTGTTCAATTGTACTGATGGAAAACGCCTTCTCCCTCTCTCTCTCTCTTCAGAAAATGACAATAATAATAATGCATTATTATCATATCACTGTAAGAGTTTTTAAAAAAAATTAAAATGAGCCAATATGTATGTGCAGCATGCCAAAAAAGAAAACATATTCCACTTTCCAAATGAAAAAAATACAAATGCTTAGTCATTTATTTACATATAGTTAAACAGGGACATCTGCTAAATTTATGACGAAAATGATTTAAACTGTAAGAAATTCATGCATTTTAAACTCTTTTTCGACCGTTGTAAACGGACAGGTAATCCATCTTAAACAATGAAATTTGGCTTTTTTTTATTCGAATAAAAACACATAGTAGGCACGCATAATCCTTTTATACATTTAAAAAGAGTAATAGAAGTGAAGAAAAAAAAGAAGAAAAACCAACAACAAAATCTCACGTTTGTAGAAAATATGATTCGGTATCAAATATATTTGTTCGTTTCATTAGTCGTAATAAGAATTATATTTATCTGTTTTTATTTACTTTGAATTCCCGCAACATGAACCGCTACCACTCGCAGTATTTGTTGATCCCGGTATAACAATACCTTTATTTGAATCATTTCGATCTGTAGGTCTTGGTAATTTTTTGGCAATAGCCATAAATATATCATTAACATTCATGGCGGTCTTTGCTGATGTTTCCATAAATATCAAACCATTTTCTTCAGCATATGTTTGAGCATCTTGAACTTCAATTTGACGTTTTTGTGACAAATCTGCTTTATTACCCGCTAATGCAATAACAATTTCTGGTGCAGCCTGACGTTGTAATTCTTTGACCCATACTTTGGCACGACTGAATGTATCAGGATTTGTTATATCATATACAACAATTGCTGCTTGTGCACCACGATAATACATAGGAGCTAGCGAATGATACCTAAATGAAAAAAAAAAATTTAAATAATTTTACACATTTCGAAAGAAAAACAAAAATTTGGCTAGAAAAACTTAAAGTCCAAAACGGTTTGTAATTTCTCGCATCATTTTTAATGAATAGAAGATGAACAATTGCATTACACAAGAGAATCATTAGACATACAACAGATATGATAAATTATAGAAGTTTGCAAGATCCTTAAACACTATGATAGGTAACTATTTGTATGTTAGATATAGAAAACGATATCAGTGCCTCTTTCTGTCATTTTTTCTGATCTCTTTACTTCCAAAAACGTCTAAAGTCTAAAAATATGTCAATGCTCACCTTTCTTGTCCAGCTGTATCCCATAATTCTAATTTAACGGTTGTATCATCTACACAAACAGTTTGAGTTAGAAATGCTGCACCAATTGTGGATTCTTGATATTCGTGAAATTGTCCTTTGACAAATCGTAATACAAGACTAGATTTTCCCACAGCTGATTCACCTAATAACACCATCTTAAACTGACATGTTCGATTTGGACCAGCGCCGTTTGCTGGTCTGGGTTGAGCTCGACTCATTGTTTATTGTTACTATATTTAAATTTATTTTATTTTTTCAGTTTTAAGATGTCTAGATAGATGTACGTATTTAAAAATGAAAAATAAGAACAATAAAAATAAATTTTAAGAAACTAATTATAACAGAAACTTTTTGAAGTTTGAAAAATGAGTATCAATCTAAAACAAGATACAACCATACTTAGATTATTATTTGATCAAGTGAGGTCACACAACGCAAAGATGACTCATCAACGTTATACGTTCGTTTTTCACGTGCTTTTCCCATAGGTAACGAAAAACGGAAGATTATTAAAATGATTTCATGACAAAACGAATATATAAGAAAAAATAATTATTTATGGTGATTGATCGGCCAAGCAAACATTATTTATTTTCTTTTTTTTTCTTTTTCTTTTTTCTATAACAGAAAATATAATATAATATAGAAAATATAATCATGAGACCGAAATACGTAAGATCCATTAGTTCAAAGACTATTATCTATTAATTAGAAGAACTGAGAAGAATTGGCAAACCTCGAAACTTCATATTTATGATTAAATCATAAAATTTATTATACTTCAGTTGAATATATGGATATTCTTGAGTGCACAAATACGACTTTGAATGCATTAGTACTTTATTTTTAATTCAAAGAGGCTTACTATTGTATTTTAACTGGTAAACTGGAAGCAACAGATTGATTTGACATTAATCATCGGCTGACTCATCTTCATCTATCATATCTCAGCTGATAGCGCATTGTTATATTGCGTTTTGAAATGAGACAAGTTGTGTTCACACAACATGACTGTGCAAAATATTTATATTCTACGTGTTTCCATTTAGTGAACATTCTCGAATATCGTAGTGTCATACGTTGTAAAGTTTAATGAATAGGATAGAAGTAAACTGAAATAAATGTACTGACCATAAACAATTTTATTTGACTCTCTCGAATAAACGGGAATTACAAATGATTTAATAAACATTTTGAAGATCTCATACTTAAAGTTCGTAACAAAAAAAGAACAGATCAGATTATCAAGTGAAGAAATTTGAAGTATGTGGTCTGACGACATGAAATATCGAAAAGTGGGACTCATTTTTACGTAGTCTTTCCTAGCTCATATTATAGCTGTTGTTAAAAGTTTTCGAAATATACATTCAAAGTTCTCCGACCCAAAACCATTACAGAGATACTAGTATTTTTCAAAAAGCTGCTTACTATGGCACCAAACATTTTTTCAAGACGTTGTTGTAGTACTCTTGTAATATACGGATTTTTCTAGTACAATTTCGGATCTCCAAGTTAATGTTAGGCCAAAAAAGTGATGAAGTGGTGTAAAAATGCCTCATGTATCTAGTTTACTTAAGTAAGACCGGTTTTTTCGAAAAATACTGATATTTCCGTAATAGCTTCGGATCGGAGAACTTGAAATATATATTTTGCAAGCCCTTGACATCAACTGTAACGTGAACTAGAAAAAGATTTCTCAAAAATGAGCCTCACATTTGATTTCATGATCACTGATGAATATCCTAATCCGATTTTGATTACATGAGCATCGTCGGTCACCACAAATCATTTGACAACTTAGATTTTTGAATAAAGAGATGCATGGAATAGATCCATTTTCAGTCAGTTTAGAAAATTAGTTTCCTTGCATAATAAAAGTAGGATCATATTTTCGGTTCTTCTACAGATCGATCAACTCCCTAGTGGTAAAAGTGAGCGGCGGTAGCGGTGAGGGTGAGTGATGGTAGTGGTAGAAAGGTGATCGATCTGTAGAAGTATCATATTTTCTCCTCATCATAAGAGACCAGCTAAATTTTAGTAAATTTGACTAACGTTTGAGAATTCGTATCTGAAAATTAATATGCAATTCTGTGGAAAATATTTTTTCTGTTTGAAATACTTCAGCTTTTAATAAAGAAAATATCATTCAACACGTTGTCAATTCAAGACTGTTTTAGAAACGTTCATATTTCACTGTAAAATGGGTAATTTTTGGAATTCACATGTTAGTAATGATGATAGGGGCGCGCTGATACCTCCATTTTATTATCCTTCATCATCAACATCACCACAAACAATTGATAATATCCATTCAGAAACTGGATTAATTGGAACCATAGCAAATGTACCAAAAGTATGCGTAATTCTTTGCTCATTTTCTCGTTTGGTAAACGTTTTATTTTTTTTTTCTCTCAAGCTGATAGTTCGTAATCGTTTGGGTGGTCCGAATACTTATATGAATTATACAGATATTCATGCAGCACAACGAAAAAATATGATTGACCATCATTTACCAATTGTTAAATATGATGAAAAAAAAATCAAACAGTCTGAGTATGTCACATGGAATATTTTTTCCTCTGTTTTCCTAATCCTTGACACGTCAAAACTATTTGTAAACAAATGAGAGATTAAACGAGATTCAAACAAAGATGAGCGAGTCGACTCGAGTTGCATTTTTCTATGACTCGGACTCGAGGTGAAAGACACGATAAACTTGATAAACTTACGAGTCAGTCATGTGCAACTTGAGATTGTTAGGGCGGTGTTATTATATTTGTTATATACCAGGAGAGAGATTTGAGAATATCCTAAGTAGAACATCGAGTCACATGAAAGGATTGAAGACCTATTCTTGGAAAAATGAATCAGGAGGAAAGTTTTGCTCTAGAAAGTGACTCGAGTCAATTTTTGATGGACTCGGACTTGACTAAGACTCGAAAAAGTGGTGACTCGTCCATCTCTGGATTCAAACCCTGTTGATGTTTTATTTGGTTCTTGGTTAGAGTGTCTTCTGAAATATGCAATTGTTGTTTTTTTTCTATTTTAGTTGTGCAATATGTCTTATTGATTTTGAACAGAACCAAGAAGTTCGTCAACTACCATGTTCACATGTCTATCATCAAAAATGCATTGATCAATGGTTATTAAAACAATTTATTTGTCCATCGTGTCTTACAAATGTGGATGCTGCCTTATTACTACAATTTGTACCAAAAAGTTAACAATTTAGTAGCTATTGGTTCTTATTTGTTTTGTGTATACTAAAAGAAAGAAGTGGTAAAGTATCTTCTTTGTTTTTTCATCAAATGTGCTCTTTGTTGATAAAAAAAATACTGTATTATTTCCATTGTCAGATTTTTTTAAAAATTTAAGTGGAAGACATGTGTTTGTGTGCTAAATAATTATATGCATTAAAAAAATTGAATAAGCTTTTGTGCTATACTGTCAGCAGAAATAGAGAGAGAGAGAGATCTGACACAAATGTCCTCATGTCTGTGTGTGGGGGTGTGCAATTGTATATTTATAGTCATGATTCATTAAACTCAGTTCTTGCATCGGTTACATCTACATCTTCTTGTGATATATGTTTGAATCTTTTTGTACAAAAATATTTTTTTTTTATTTTTGTTTTTCTCCTAATTTATGTTTTCTTTTTTTGTCATTCGGATACAGTAATCGACTAATGACGACTTATAATAGATATAGTGTGTGTATGTCTGTACTTTTGTGAAAACAGTGTTTGTGTTTAAGTAAAATTTTTAAAAACATAGGCTTCTTTCTCATCAATGGTTTTTTGTTATTTCCATGTTTGTTATAGTCTATTCTGTTTACCATTGTGTGTGTGTGTTTATGCTGTTTTTGTATACTACTTTTAAATACAAATACAAATTCAGATACCACGTATATTCATAATAATGTCACCTTAGTTGACAACTGTTCTGATCGATGAAGACGAATAAAACTACGTTTTATCGTGGATATTTATCGGAGCAACAAAAGCGCAATAGTGAATATCCAATAAGATCTGAATTACCATAAGTATAGTATGCTATTGATCATGCTCGATCAATTACTATCACGGTGTTACGAAAACAGTGTAGAAACTAGACTTCAATAATTTTGAAGCCTTAACTGTATCGAAACTGTCAAAGATTAATCAAAATTTAGAGAAAGTTTAAAACAACAGCTGTGTTATTTAATCCTTATTTAACCCATACTGCATTTCTTTCTCCTTGAGCAGATACGACGGAATGAAGGAGTGCTCTGAATTGTTCCGTTTAGGTAAACGAAACGTCTCATAATCGCTTGACATTTCTAGATCAGAAGGTTTAAAAAAAAAACTAGTACACTACCCGCGGTGCGACGGCTATCGTTTCTCTGTTATAGTAAATATTCTTTCGCGTCCTGTCATACTAATCTCAAACTTTTTAATAATAAGGATATTTGCACAAAAAGCTAGAAGGTTAACAGTTTTGAAACAAGAAGATAAATTGCCGTTTTATATTGGAAGAAGAACGTTCAATGAAACGGACTTTCTGGTCTATTCTTATCCCATCCTGATCATAATCTCGTAAACTTTCGAAGATTTTTGTGGCATCCTAAAAAAGTCCTAGAAGATTGAGACTTTCAGACAGTCTCTGCTTAGAAGATGTCATATCGCACCCTGCATCCATGAGACTAAGTAGCGGCCAACATAATTTCTGACACGACTGACAAATAGACCTTATTTCGAACCCTTACACAATTTTTTTCGTTAATTTCTCACTATACTAGTTAAATTGAGACTTGTGATAATTTAATCGAACCGTAGTATATTCTGTCGTCTTAAACTGTGACATACCTAAATTACTATCGTTACATCATTAAAATCACAATAAAAAATAAATTTCTTTCTGTGGTAAGTATTTGACTGTCAACTTGCACTTTGTTTTTGTTCAAGAATCCATCCGAAACCCAAGATGTACCAGAAGTTCAAAAAGAATTCCACATTTGGCAGAGCTTTCTGATTGCTTTTAGTCAGTGTGAGAACTCCATTTCTAGTGGCCAAAGATCTTCCACTTCTACAAAACTATGTGTGTGTAGCAGTAACATACTGGTCTTGTGTCTGGAAAAATAACGTTTAATAACAGCTCGTGAGAAGTAAAACTGCAATTTATAGTCAAAATTCGTGTGTTTTTCAGATTCTAGACAACTATTTTGAAAAATTTCCTCGAAACTGAGCAAATATGATGTTATAAAAATGTTCAGCAAATTCAGACCTGTCTCCTAAACTGCTTTTTCATATCGGTACAGAAAATACGAATATTCTCGTACGTAAACCAGTTAGCGCTATAAAAAGAAACAAAGTTCTCTGAAAACCTTTTGTTTCTCAACGACGATTTATTAAATGACGACAATCTTTAATACAAATTAGATATAATAGAAAGGTTGATATATCGTGCTAAAGGAATTAATCGAGTGGAGTGGACTCACAAGTAAAATTGATTCTTGTATCACAGTTTTACTTCTCACGAACTGTTATTAAACATTACTTTTTGAGACCCATGACCAGTATGTTACTGCTACATACATATAGTTTTGTAGAAGTGGAAGATCTTTATCTTTTGTCACTAAAAACGGAGTTTTTAAATGAAGTCTATATCGGAGCACAACATTGTGCATCATTTAATCTGGTTCATCCATTATTTTTCCTTTTTCTTCATATCATCAAAATTTGCAGTTCCACTGAGTCGCTCCAACCTGAAAATTGAGGTCGGTTCTCGAATGCGTCAGTCGAAGTAGTACTTCTGAATGGTAAATAGTAGTAGTATACTTAGATTAAGCTTAATAAAGTACTCATTACATAAAATCTTTATCCAATAGCTCCGTTTCGCACAGACAAGCGTCTCTCACTCTTCGAACCACAAGTCAGATTTTTCACATCAGATTTACATAGTGCGTATAAAAGATCTGTTCACTCACATATCTGCAAAAAAGTTCGAAAAACTTTTTAAAATGAACACACATGTGACACAAAAATAGTAAAATCTCTTAAAAATATTTTTATAAATTTGTCTCACTTCATGTATATGTATGCTAAGCATTGTCTGTTTTCTATCTTATTTTAACCAATTTTTTTTTTATGAAAAAAATACCATAAAAAAACATGTTTGTGATTAGCTACTATAACATTTAGTGATACAATCACAAAACACATAAAAAATTATCACACATATTTCACTAGGAATAAATTAATTTAAAAACAAAAACAAAATAAAACTATTGCACTGAGAAATACAGATTTATAATGATTGAACATGAGAAGGAAACATACTCCATTTCTTGTATGTGTGACTATCACCGTGTCTATCGACAAATTTCAATGCTGTAATTGTCAGAGCATAGCCAGGCATACTAACGGTAAATAGAATGATTGGTCCCAGTTCTTTACCGCACGATGGATTTGAACAATAAAATTTTTCTAAAAGTAGATAAACGCAAAGTAGAAAAACGCAAAAAAGTAATATAGTACTCAATAGCATGAACCTACTGTCATCTGACATTGGTGTTATTTTTTCTTTTATAAATTGTGGATCGATACACACATACGTTGTGCCTTGTTTTCTCAATGCCGAACTTTGACAAAGATACGTATTACAGTATCGACAACGGACAGAATAAACTTCTGAATGTGTTGTAGGCTCTAGCGGTTGTCGATTAACTCCACCATTTTTATGTATCTGTTCAATTAACTCAGCCTCAAAAATATAGATGATAAATTAGTAATGTACAAACACATACTATGTTAACTTATTCTACCTGTTTTAACACAACAAGTTTTTGAAATTCATGAACACCTTTTTCCTTCAGTTCTTCCAATGCTCTTTTCATGTCTATTTCTTTTGAACGATTTTCCAATTCACGTCGCTGGTTCAATGATTCTAGAAAATAATTTATACAAAGTTAAATGGTAGAAATATTATATTTAACATCATAAGACGTACGTGTTTCTGTGATTAAAAAACACTTGCTTTGTAAAGCTCTCGCTCTGCCTCGGCTTTGTACAGTTCCGATTTCATTACTAACAAATTCGTAGCGAATAACATATGAACATTCGGCAACATCCAAACCTTCTTGTGCAACATCAGTGGCAACAAGTAGATTCTTTACGCCTAAAATTTTAAAATAAAACATAATATTCTATAAAAACTTAGAAGATAAAGCGTACCAGATCGAAACTGATTTAATGATGCCATTTGTATATTTGCTGGCATATACATGTCTTCAAGGGAGCCTTGCCCAGTTAGTCGACCAGGTCTGATATTCTTTGAAAAGGAAACAATTTCAAAAATATTAGCTGAAAAGTTTTAGTTCACTTCATATACCCGTGCTATCAAATCTGGATGTTCACTAAGAAATATTTCTAATGCTACGGTATGAAATTTTGTGCGAACAAGTATTAGACCTAATCAGAAAGATAAGAGAAAGAGAGAGAGAGACACGCGTAAAATCATTTGCGACTACCTTTTTACCTTTTGACTCTGATTCATGCAATTGAAGTATAAGGTCAGTTAATTTTTTTAATTTATTTTTCACATACGGTTGATCAGATCTGTGATTTTCAACAAACCGTCGGAAATTCTCCCAATATCGTCGGCATTCTAGTTCAAACTGTTCATAGTTAACTAGTACAGGACGATGTAATTCATCTTCTAACCATTTATAACATTGTTGAAATGGTAAATCATTGTAATTCTGCAAAAATCTCTAAACAAGAGGCCATCCACAGTAATAGACTATATACGATTTGAAAAAGTTAGAAATATTTTTCATTGAACTTGCTAATTTGTATCTAGAGCTCTACAGATTAAACCTTACCTGACCTGAAAGAAAGATTCAGATTATGAAAATTTTTACGGAGCAAATTGCAGGTTACACTATCGATATTTTGCTGGTAGAACCGGTAGAAAAAATGTCCTGAAATTGATCTGTAAAAAAATGAGAGTATAAGAAGTGCAAAGTTTTATTTTCATTTGACGGAAAAGAGTGCTAATATATTTATTTATGACAAGGAGCGCACAATCCTGAAAAAGTGTTTTTTGGGTTCAACAGACAAAAATTTTTCACCGCTAGCGTAAAATTAACATGTGTCATTAGCTGAACTATATTAGGGACATCTTTATGAAAAAATTTCTTTCAAAAGAAATTATCAAATACTACCGCACAAAATTTTCAGAACAGACCAAGTGACAGATTACAAAAAGTCGTAACCTGCAGAACATCTAACCACAAACACCCCTCATATTCCTTTTCAAAACAACACTTACATTGAATTTTAATAAATAATCACATCCAGTATTTTCCATTCTATCATTTCTTTTCACAGCATTCTGATATTTAGTCATAAGATAATTTTCAAACATTTGCGTTCCAAACTGACTTGTTTCATAATTTAATCGATTACATATTCGAGTCATTACCTCTTCTTTGAGACAAGCTGCATATGGATCGGTTAGATCAATTGCTACAGGTATGATTGTATCTGCTAATGGTGTATTTGTTGATTTTCTTAATTCTTCTAATTCTCGATCATTTTCAATGGCACATACATAGAGAGAATCTAAATTTGCACATAATTGAACTAAATGTTCAAATCCATTTCCTTTGTTTGTGCCCACGCTAGCTGTTAAACCCATTATTTGTGGTACATAATCGCCTTGTACTTTGAGTTGATGATAACGACGCATCATATCCATAACAGGATGATCACTATAACAATGATGACATTCTAAAAATAAAATTGAAAACTGTACTATATTTTAATGAAACATAGATGAAGACTATATACCATCAATAACAATTAAATCAAACATATTAAATTTGATATGATTTGCTTCAATATAATTATTGAATTTTTGATATGTAAAAAAAAATATATCAAATTGATCGTACAACTGATTAAAACTATAAAAAGGAAAAAAGAACGAAAAGTTTCTTCAAAATATAATTTTATTCTATCATTTTTACTGACCGTACTGCAGCCTCTTTGTCGATTTGTTTCAAAATTTTATCAGATTGATCAGGAAATATTTTCTTGAATGCAATGCATTGTTGTTCGATCAGTGCTTTTATTGGTACAAGAAATACACATTTAAAACGAGATGAATTTGAAGATTTTTTCAAATAATTATTATTGTTACCAATATTTGATGATTGTTTTGTCAAAATATAAAGAAATTTTACAACTATTCCAGCAACCTATTAACAAAACAGTAAATTATAATTCTAAATAATTTGATTATCAAATACTTACCCACGTTTTACCCGCTCCAGTTTGTAAACAAACAACGGAATTTGTTTTATTTAAACCATGTCTAGCCATTCGAAGTTGATATGCTCGCGGTACAAAATCAAGTCGTAATAAATTTTTTGCACGTTGAGGAGATAATAAAATATTTTCCTGGGTAACGTGTTCATGTCTCATCCAATCATAAGGAACTTCTGTATTTAAAAATTCTTTGAAATTGAAATTTTTTGAAATTGTAGTTGTACTTTGTGCAATAGTTGATGGACGATAGCCTTCTTAATTACAAAAAAATTATCATGTTGATTATTTGTTTATCATTGAAAAGTAACATTACCTTTACTATTTTTAATTGGATTTTTTAAATACATTCGAGTCACAGCGATAAAATCGATATATTCCTTTTCTGTTAATATTTCTTTAACTGATTCAATAATAGCTATTTCAGCTGATGTAAAATCTAAACGAAAACAATTAATACTTGAAACTATCATTATGACTCTAGTTAGAGTTCGAAAAACAATGTTGGTAAGCGATACTGGAGTGTTTGCCGAGTAGTCTTTGAATGTCAGAGACGTACCGTTGAGATTACTTTTGTTCAGTATTGTTGGTGATGATACTGTGGATTTTTTATGTTGATGATCGTTGATACAATTTTCACAAAAAGTTTGTTTACATTCGTCACATTTTTGAATATCAGTGAAATCTTTGCACTTAAAACATAAATCGATATCTTCCAGTCGAGTTAATAGTTTTGTTATTTGATGTGACTGTGGTAGATAATCGTATTTTTCTATGAGATATTCCTCGAATGGTGTCTGACATTTTGGACATTTCGAAGGACGTTGTTTTGAATGATTTTGAAGTATAACTAAATAAAACGAGAAGAAAAGAAGTAAGTAATAGTGAGAGATAATATTTTTACCTTCTAAACATTTGGCACATATAACATGTTTGCAATACAATTCTTTTGGCTTGTTTAAACGTTGTAAACAACTAGGACACTGTATTAAACGGAATACGTCGGCCATGTTACAATTTTTTTTTACAATATAAAAATGAAGAAAATAGTGGATTTCGTTATGCAATAGCTACACATTAAGGAGGGATCCTCGGTATGCAAAATTTCGTTCATTCTTTCCCTATTTGTTGCAGAGCTGGGCAAGCCACACGTCAAACCAGATCATCCCTGGAAAAAACTTTTTTGAGAATAGATAATTAGACATGGGCGGGATCGGGAGGAAAAATTTTGTTTAACGGGATCAGGACTACAACTTTTTTTCCGAGATCGAACCGGGATCAACACTAGAACTAAGATGTATTTCGACAGTTGCATAAAATCAGCTAAAATTTCACCAGTTCTCTATACCAAAATAGAAACGTCGTGGAAAATCGTCAAGAAGTCTTACAGTTTTCTTCCTATGTATTGAACTTCACATCTACGTCATGCAAACTTTATTAATAAACTGTTTTTTCCGGCACCATAAAAAATTTCCGGGACTGGGACGAAATGTTTTTTTAACGGGAACGGGACGGGATCGAAACAACTTTGCGGGACCGGCACCAGGACTAAGAAACCTTGGTCCCGCCCATGTCTATAGATTACTCTTCTCCTTTTCTTTCTGTGAATATCCGTCAGCAAGCTCTCTTTTGACTGTATGAGATTCATGAGCAAGAATTTCAGGACATCAGGTAGTTCGATGTCCATTCTCAAGATAATGTATAGCTATTCTTAAGAAACCTTTTCCGTAGAAAGCATTCTTAAGTTCTTTACGTTTATCAGCTCCCCTCACTATCTGTCCAATGTAACTACTACTAGTGCATCCACAGCAGTCATACTTATAAATCACTCTTTTGGCATCGTTCATTTGCCGAAAAGTACGGTCAAACAGTAATAAGATAGTCTGTCCAGCTTTAAATTTGAAAGTCAGTCTTTAACCCTTTCACTACCAGTTTTATTTTTTTCAAAAATTTTATACAGTACTCGTCAAAAGTAGCGAGCCCGCTGTAACTCAAGAACAATGATAGATAGGGACTTCTAATTTTGTGTGGTGATAACTCTTACGGAATGCTGATCACCCACCAAGTTTGGGCCTCTTTTACTAGATGGTTCGTGAGATATAAGCGATTTATCTCTTTTTCGTAAAATATCAATAGTACCTGACCTATGAGATATGAAAATTTTTTCGCTTTACTAAAATGTAGCCACGAGTCCACTCTATCTACAATATAATCTTTTATGAGTTGGCTGTTAGTGGTCAGTGAAATACAGCTATTTTACGATCGAGGTCTCTGGAAATGAGGTTCTGAGATATGAGGTCCTTTCCAAGAAAAACTCATAACTCATTCCAGGAACATCACTTCGACTTCAAAGTGACAGAAAATACTCTTCGACGACTGTGGACTATCCAGTCAAAGTATGACGGTTAACTATTGTATGATTCTGGAAATCCATTGAGACTGAGCTCCCACTATTGAAACAAACGTAGGGCGGCCGATCTCATATCTCAGAACCTCATTTCCAGAGACCTCGATCGTAAAATAGCTGTATTTCACTGACCACTAACAGCCAACTCATAAAAGATTATATTGTAGATAGAGTGGACTTGTGGCTACATTTTAGTAAAGCGAAAAAATTTTCATATCTCATAGGTCAGGTGCTATTGATATTTTACGAAAAAGAGATAAATCGCTTATATCTCACGAACCATCTAGTAAAAGAGGCCCAAACTTGGTGGGTGATCAGCATTCGGTAAGAGTTATGACCACACAAAATTAGAAGTCCCTATCTATCATTGTTCTTGAGTTACAGGGGGCCCGCCACTTTTGACGACTACTGTAGCGTATATCGCATCTTCTTCTTTTATTTTATCTTCTTGATCTATTTAGTCATCGATATAGCAAAAATTCATTGTTTTAAACAGTTATCCACATGTAGCGCATATAGAAGAAAAAAAAGAACGAAAGTAGCAAAATTCTTACTGCTTTCATTTCCCATAGGTATTGTTTAGACGTTGTTTGGGACATATGTCCGTGTGATAGTGAAAGGGTTAATGGATGCTGAAGATGTGTTTTTAGTTGATTAACTAACATTAATGAGTATGATCCATAATACGGTAATAGATATAGTAACGTTTAACATTAGATACTAATTGAGGTTCAAATTTTGAATACTGGGGACCCCTCCTTAATGTGTAGCTAAATCAAAGAATAACTTAATTCAGAAACCATCATAATACTCCATGTAACTAAACTTTAAGAGAAGTTCAATGGTGACAGAGTTCAGCGCGTAACTTCCGCAAGCAATAGAAAACTTAATTGAAATACACAATATAATGGATAAAACAGAGAATAAAACTCCTTTTAGCAGCTGCTAGGTATATGTGATTATCAGCGTACAGTTGTCTCCGTCCGCTCTCTTATAAATATTCGAACATAAAAAATGTAAATTAGTTAAATCTATTGAAAAACAAAAAAATCACTAATATATTCTATAGGCATTTGTTTTAAAAATAAAATTCGAATGGAATGATGTACATCAAAAACAATAAAAAATGAATTATTTTTAATGTTTAAAAATATAAATAAAAAAGTGGAAGTAAAATAAATAAGAAAGAGATCACTATTTTGAAGATCATTCTATAGAGACACACCGTCCAAAAATACGAAATTTAAACTGAGTGATAAGAGTACTCTTATGTACAATCTCATTATCGATCACAAAAGTTCATCTAATAACAAAAAAGTCATTAGACTATTGTTAGAATGAATGCATTCGTCTGTAAAAGCTAAAAAGTAGTATAAAAGGTAGAAAATTTATAAAATCGGTCATAGCAAAAGATAAAGAGAAGAGTGTGCAAAAGAATAATGAAAAAAGAAAATCTAAAAAAATAAATGAATTATCTATAATTCTTATTTAGAATTAATTTTAATATTTAAATATTTTCGATAACCATACATATCATGTTCAATATCTTCTTTTCGAATATTCCGTTTTTGATAAAAAACTTCAGCTACTTCCGATGATAATGGATCCAATTGTGATTGTGCACAAGCACGTACATAACCATCAACTAAATAATAGGCAACCCATTTAAATTCACCATCTAAATCACCATGAATAATGCAATTATCGGCATCTGTTGTATAACCACAATAACGGATTATTGTGTTTTTATTTTGAGTTGTCCAATAAATGGGAACTGTATAAAATTCTTGTTTTAGTGCCCGTTCATTATGTGGATTTGGATTCGATGAATTATACCCTAAAAATAATAAAAAGGTAAAAGATATTCTTATTACTAGAAAATTATGAGTGTTTATTCTTACCTAATTTATGCAGAATTGTATCAGCAGCATGGTGACCTAGAAAAATAAAAAACAAAATGATTATTTTTTATGATTAATAAACAATTGATTCGAACCTTCACTACAAGCCATTTGCCAATGTTGACATCGAATGCCCTGATCATAGTTAAATATTTTCAGTGGATACTCCGTAATATCACCAACAGCCATAACATTTTCTACGGATGTTTCCAAACGATCATTGACACGTATGTAATTATCATCTGTCATTTCAATTGGAGAATTCTTATATATTTCTGTACATGGCTCCGAACCAATAGCAACGATGGCCATATCACATGCAACTGATTCACCGGTGGTCAAATGAACATGAGTCACCATATTACTTTCACCGGTAAAATCTTGAATTTCAGCTGAGGAAATAAATCGTGCACCATTTTTTTCATGAATATGTTGTAATGCTCGACCAACTTTTTCACCAAATATTTCTTCAAACAAGAAGAACACATTATTAAGAAGCAGTCAACTAGCTATTTCCATTATGCTTCCAAAATTTTGTTTATGTTACATTTTCATTGCCCTATTTTCTTCACTATCAAAATGTAGCTGGATCAAACCTACTTTTCATTGGTACACTTTCTCGCATGATAACTGTGACATTTTTCTTCTGTTCTGATTTTTGTTCTTCTGCTGATAATTTATTGTTATTGTTCTTGTGTTCAAAATTCGGCAAACCTGTTGTTAACCATCCACATAACTCTAATCCAATAAATGATTGCCCAATAATTACAATATTTTTTGTTTGTTCTTGTTTAACTTTATTAACAATATTATTAGCATCTTCTAACGATCGTAAAACATGAATACCACGTAATTCTTGTCCATTGATATTCTTAGATAACTGTCGTGGACGTAATCCCGTAGCCAATACAAGATAATCATACTGTTCAGATTTTAATTGTTTACCAAGTGTTTGATAAGTAACAGTTTTACTATGAAAACTAATTGATTTTACTTCCGTATCCAAGTTTAATTCTAATTTAGCTTTTCTAAAATAAGGTTGATCACGTAATAATAACTCTTTGGGTGATTTCAATCTAAAACAAACTATTTAAAAAAAATATAGTAATGATGTGAATTTTAATACATACGGTTGTTTTGATAGTTCTACACGATCGTAAGGTAAAGATCCTTCTCTTGTGAATAAAATAATTCTTCCACGAAAACCATTTTGTCGTAAAGTGTCACCACAAGTAAAGCCTCCAGCTCCCGCACCCACAATCAAGACTGTTGCTTTTGTATCACATTGAAGATCTTCGGGTATTTTTGTACATTCAACTTTTTCTAAATCTTGTTTTCTTGCAACTAATATTACTTGATCATCAACAATATCAATATTGTATTTCTGTAAACTACCGTGACCAGGATGATCTTCCAAGTCGCCCGTTTCGGCCTTGTAGCAGGAACCGTATGCAAAACAGCGCAACCGACCATTAGCAAAGACACCTTCAGTATAGAGAAAGGTGACAGAGTAGAATGAGAATAAGTTTGGCGCTGGTCATCTACCTTTCACTAGTGGCAATTTACAATGTGTGCATCTAGATGATAGTGCATAATAACGATTATTTTGTTTTAATAACAAGACTGTTGCTTCGACTACAGGTGTTTTTACTTCAAATTCTTTCATTTGTCCATTTTCTAATTCATTAACTTTACATAGACGATGACGAATTTGATTCGACGATGATGATGAATCATCGGCAGTTGTTATTGATGTTGATAAATTACCAATGAATGATTTTAATTTATTCATTTGTTTCGTTGTTGAAAATAGAACAACAATAAATGATTATTCTGAAACTGAAATAGCTACTTAGAAACACACCGTCACCACATTATCTGAAATGATTTTACAAGAAAATCAATCATCGATGGGAGAAAACTAACACTAAGTATTCGATGAACACTCAGTTACAGTAATCCTAAACAATAATCAGAAAATGAAAGATTCGATATGGGAAATAGTCAAGTATTTCAAGCAACAGAGATAGAACAGCGCATTGGAACAAAAACGATCTTCAAAACATCTATGTGTTTTAATAATTTTAAAAGACAGTAAAAAACGATCTCCATTCTTCCTTCTTTCATTCAACTGTTACTGACTGGAATAATCTTCCAGAATCAGTCGTTCGTTTTTCTTCGATATTGTCATTTAAAATAGCTTTATCTCAGCATCTTTTCAGTAGAACATAGCAGTTAAAAACACACAGTTATAAACAGAACTAGTGCTGTTACTCTTATTTTATTTACTTTATTTTATTTTATTTTGTTTCTTTTTTATTCTTCTTTACTATCTGTTTTCGTACACTACACTAGTTTTTACCTTTTATTTATTTATTCTTTTTTTTTCTATTTATAGATTCTTTTGTTGTTGTTCGGCTCGAGTCATTGTTTTATAGGTCGGTGACCTTTGATGACTCTCACTTTTCGTGAATAATAATAATTCATTCAAACGATCTCCAACTTTTTGTTCGTTTGTAGATCGAAGACATATACTAAGTTCTAAAAACTCAAGCTATCTTATGAGTAAAGTCAAAAACCACGAACTTTTAGTTTTCCCGCTCAGTTGATCGTTCACAACTACTATTTTGGATTGAGCCTGCATGCATTCCTTTTTCGGTTCTCTAGAACAACAATTATCGATATCTACAAGAAACTAGTTTTCTACTTCTTACTTCACAGTTTCGAATAAGAAAATGATCTAAATTCAATTGCACGCGTTCAGAAGTAGAGTTCAGATGCTGATTGTACATTATTTGCAACTCAATTGTATCAATTGTATAGTGTTACGATTTTTTGTAAAATACAATTTTGTGAGCGAACTTAGGAGGACTGGAGTTGCTTTTTCCAGTTAGAGTAGAAACAGGGTAGAAAAAAAAACAGATTTGATTTCCTTTCTTATGAAAGAAAAAATATAATGTTAGCTATTCGTAATTATTTGTTAATAATAACAATGTAATAAAATTGAAGAGACAGTCATTATTTTAGCAGACAGCAAAAGCAATACTAAACACTGTAGAAGAAGGCACTTCCTAGTGCCAACATTGCATAGTACTTCAGAATATAATTCTACCCTGCTATTTACGACGCTGATGCAGCTTGAATGGAAAAAAAATTTCATCCCCAATCGATTTTTTTTCCTTTAGTAGTGTTTGTATATTGTTTTTTTCCTAGATCCATGTCAAGTAAGGATAATACAGTCACTGAGTTACAGTATTAATCGCCATGTTTGCGGACTATGCTATGAACGTTAGCACGGTTTCTGTCAATAAATTCAAAATATATAGAGAAGTTAAATTACATGAAAGAAGCGGTTCAGAATGAATACGAAATAAAGATTTGCATTAAATTTGTTTATTAGTCGTTTTCTTTCAAGATTACTACTAGATGGCACTAGTGGCTGGCAGTAGAGATACTGTGACAACAGAATAACAAACGAACAGTGAAAGACAGGCAAATTGCATATAGCGAGTTTTCTATTAAGGCTTTGTTGAAAAATAACTGATATAGTTGTTCAAAAATTTAGTACCGATACTAAAAACATTGAACAACATTAAACTAACGTAATGGATATTTCCACGTAGTTATCCTCAGGTTACACAGATCTCCGAGCCGTTGATTTGTTACTCTATGGATTTTGTAGACCACTATTGCATGACGTATAGAATCTCACGCATTTCCTTCAGGGCTGTGATAAAAGTTGACCACAAAGGCAACTTATCGAACCTTACAACGCTTGAAAAACTATGTTTCCCATAATTTTTGTCCGGTAACGATTATGGACTTTTATTCGCCTCTCTTAATACTAAATTTCATCTAATCCAATTCGATCCCGAGTGTAATCTTGGTGTCTTTTAGCTGATGTTATACTAAGTGGTTCAGCTCAGAAAAGTGGTGTTTTTCAACGTGTCGGGTCTAAAAAAAATGGTATTTTTAAAATAAATGGGAAAAAGACGTTTTATACTTCTTAGTTCTCACTTTCACGCATTCTTGCAAAAAGTCAGTCAGAAAAAATGAGACTGATTTATATGCAACATTTTACAACTCGTATAATATAATGAAGTTAACAGTTCAATGACATATATTGGGAAAGGCGATCGACTTATAGATTCGACCGGAGATGGAAACGACGAAACATTCGAAATACTGATGAAACCAGTTACCATGCAGCATGTAAAAATAATTCGTCATCAATATAACGGATGACAATATGATAATATCGGAATGATCAGCATAGCTATATACGTAGCAGGTGCAGCACAGAAACATTGCACGTGAACAAAATATCCACCAATTAGACAAAAATACCTTAATTTTTCCCACTACTTTTAGCCAATTTTTCGTGGTGTTTGAATAACTACACAACTATCATCAGATGAGGCATTTCGAAGGCATACTATTTTGGTCATTGTGTACTTTTCACATAATAAAAACATTCTAACTTGACAGTGGCAAAAGAAAATCAAGAGGCACTTGATAAGTGTGATTAGTAAAATGTTGAGAATATTCGTTTTGAATTCTTAAGCTGAAAACAAATAAACTGTTTAGTATTTCGAAAGTTTATATGCAAATTTCACACACTCGTTTGCGTTTGGATAAGACGGACATTCTCATCCTTTGCTCGTATTCTTTCTTAAAAGATATCTTGAGTGTGATCATAGTAATAAAACATATATTTAAAAAAAGACAACAGGTTGAGAAGGCTACTTTAATTTTTGTTTCAAGTATTATTATAATTTTCTCTATTTTGTATATACCAAACAAGACTTGATTATGTATTATGATTAATAAGAAAACTAAATAACATGATAATGTCGAGATTAATTTCATTAAAGCAACAGCAAGTAGATGTCTTAGTCTATTTCATGTGTTTAAGCAATTCCGTTTTGGAATACAATAATTACCATCGCACATCTACCCAAACGGCTACTGTCTCTAATTTCGTATTATACTAGAAAAAATGACGCCAATTTCTTGTTAGAGCCATAACAAGATATCTGAGTCCTGATGCTTCTTGTAAGGAAAATAGTTAGGTGAAAGGAAATTGGTTTAAAATTAAATCTTATTTGCCAATTTTCGCATAGATAATAAGTTTCTCATGACTTGTGATGTATGTGTAAATTGGAAACAGTTTGGAAAACATTTATCACTCGAGAATTTTTATGTTACGTTATATTTATATGAGAATAAAAAAATAACAGCTGTATAAAAACAAAAATTTGTTTCGCCTTTTTCATTCTCTTGTTCATTTCACACTTCCTTTTTTAAGAAAAACACCAGGCGAACAAACATTCTATATGCTATCACACACACAACAAAACAACAACCTGTTCACTTTTGATATAAAGTTTTTCTCTATTCTATTACTTGAACACATATATTTCATCAAAAAGTGAATGAATATATGAACTATACAAACGTTTTTTCTCTTATCGCTCTTAATATGTCGTCATCAACACCTCTACTATATTGTCATTGTTCACAGAGAAAGAAGAGAGAGAGAGAGATAATACGACTACGTACAAACAGTAGCCGATTGATCTAACTATAAATAGCCCCTTCATATCAGACGAGCCCAAGATCTATACTTACAGAGCTACAAACAAACATAGTCATACTAAAAGAGCGCCTATCTTCATTCATTCACACATTTAGTTTTTACATGTTGTTGCTGTCGCTTCTTCCATTTCTTACAACAAGGTATGAAAATCTTGTAACATATTTTACTGTCATGCACGACGATGTAAGAATCATTGATTTCTTGATATTTTATAAATCTTTTAAAAAAGTCTTGCATTTTTTATATGAGCATCTGATAAATCATATGATTTTGAGGAGCATCTTATTTTTTTGGAATAAGCCATAAGACTTCTCAAAATCTTACAATTTCCAACATTCTGAAAAAGTTTGTTTGAAATGTTTCAGCTTCCGCGTGCTTCTTTCTCTCTTTGTTTCTCTCAGCTGCTTGAACAATATTGATATCAAAAATTTGTGTTTGGATAGACTAAGTCTGATTGGTTAAATTTTTTGTTTTTGTCGAACTTCTATTCATTCGACACGTGTTTGTTTTTTCAAAATTAAAGTACTATAGATCTACTGTATATTGTATAGTCCAACGAAATATAACGATCTACTTGCTTTTTTTGTATCTGACGTATTTTATTTTCGATCTCAGTCATTCTATTCGTTTTTTCTAGTATAGTATAGTCAGCATCTTCTCTAGTCGACGAACACACAACATCACCAGCAAGAACAACAACGACTAACTTAGGAATTTTAATCTATTTTTAAAAATTATTTTTATTTTTTTTGTACATATACATATTAAATAATTTAATTTGTTTAAATTATGGATGTGAATTGTTGCCCACGTAATGATTTTTCATTTCCAATGAAAAATTCTACAAAAGAAGTGACATCATCATGGCCAGCCACATATAATGGAACAGCATTTATATCTATCGGTCAAAGTAAGTCTTTTGAAGGAAAATGGGGTGAACTTAGAAAGTAGAAAGTCTTAAAGATAGTCCTAATTAAAAAACTAAACAGCTTTAGAACAAATGCTAAAGAAAAAGCCGAGAAATTATTGCAGAATTTTAGACATATAAGTCACAAATATGACGAATTTTAATCAGGTTTTTGTTACTGAAAAAATACTGTTACGAATAGTGATATTACATTAACTTCCATTTTCCACAGTTAGAGGATAGAAAGAGTTCTCATTTTTTATCCTTTACATGAATATATGTATCTTAATCTTCTGAAAGTCACTTGAATCTCTGCTACTTAGAAAAACCAAATGGAAGTTTGAAAATAATTGTGATAATAAGTATTATCAGAAATCTTGTGTTTTTGTCTAGATGAACAAGATCATTCAAAACCATTGCCTGTATTTAATGATTTTGTGCTTCGCAATACGTCGAATTTAATTGATTTTTCTTCACAACAATTACCATCATCTCAATTACTTAATCAAAATCATCTCTCGTCCTTTCCATTGAGTGATTATAATCATTCAACATTGCTACAACCATTGTCAGCGCTAACAATTGATTCAATAACATCAACATTTCCTCAGAATAATGAAAATATTCGTCATTGGATTGGTGATCCATTTTTAAATGGTGAACAACAGCAAATCACACCACCATTGACATCAACAACACAAACTCCAGCAACATTAGCTGCCACTTTGAATTTTGATTCAGGTATCTATTTTTATCGATTGTTTTGAATCTTTTTACTTCATTTGAATTTTTACTTTCTTTTAGATGCAGAAAATATTCGTCATTGGATTGGTGATTTTACAAATGAAACAACGTTAACATCAACCACTTCCGATAGTAATGCTTCAGGAATAAATCAAATTCCATTATTATCACAAAAAGTATTTATTGGTGGTGTACCACGATTTGCTACAGAAATTGATATACATGCAAATTTTGAACGTTTTGGAACATTTGAAATACAATGGCCAAAGTTACATGGAAATAAAGAACAACATCGTGAAAATGGTTTTTTCCACATTGTATTTCATAATGCCAGATCTGTTTGTACATTGCTGGATAATTGTTCACGTCATCAAAATAATACATCGGTAGCTGATTATTTTATACATTTCGAAACGGCAACAGGATCGAGGAAAACTGTCGAAGTTATACCATGGAATATTGGTGATAATAATTATGCATTAAGGTATGGATCGATCATCTAATTAGTTCTAATTTGTTGTGAGAGACTATTGAGTGAAACTAGAGGGTTAACGATGTTTGGCATTGCTTTTAAATGATTAAAAATTGAATATGTAGATATACTAGTTAGTTTATTCAGAACGAGATAAACGTATTACAGTTTTACAATTTTTAGTATGAAAACTATTTTGTTTGTTCTTTTTTTAGACCTCCACAACAACTTGATTCAAAAAAGACCATATTTGTTGGTAATTTACATGGTACAATGACTGCACGATCGTTATGGCGCTTAATGGAAGATTTATTTGGTGGAGCCGTTTACGCTGGTGTTGATATTGACAAGTATAAGTACCCAATTGGAAGTGGACGGGTTACATTCGATAATAGTTCGTCCTTTTTACATGCTGTTTCAACAGCATTTGGTAAGTGTTAACACAATAGTATAGACAGATTGTTTTTCAAATGTCGTATAAAGAGAGAAAGAAAAGTTTTTTACCAAAGCACATTCACCACTGGATGGAACTTCTTACAGCACAAAATTTGCCAATAGTTCGACCTTTACCTGCGGTATTAAAGAAAAATAATTGAAGTAATAATTCTTTGTCTTTTAGTCGATGTTCGTACGCCACGTTTTCTAAAACGTTTACAAATTGAACCTCATTTACAATATCGTTTTTGTTCGTTATGTAAAACGGCTGCTGGTGATCTATTTTGTCGAAATTTTGCTTGTTTCGATTATTTTTGCTTAAAATGTTGGCAAAAAATTCATTCACAATCAATTGTTATGGCAAGTCATAAAGCCGTTACAAGACATTCAAAATCATCTCAACCAATATTTCATCCTATGCAAACAATGCTAAGTCAAACAATTAATTAGAGATAACGCACATAGTTTTAGACATTCTTTTTTGTATTCTAGAGAGAAAAAAAACTGTGAAAAACTTTTTTCTGTTAGATCTTAGCGTTATCGCGCTGGCTGCGAGTAGAAAGTTGTGTGTGTGTGTGTGTGCGTGTTTATGTGTCTAGTCATACACTTCTGTATGTCTGTGTAGCTATTATTGTTATTTGAAATATTTTATTTTTTTATTCATCTCAAAAACCTTTCGTAATTTTCAGATACTTTATATACATCACTCTTAGTCATTTTTTTTCGTCTCTTCAAGCCTTGTACTTTCATTTTATGTGTGATTTGTATTTGCTGGGCAAATTAAAAGAACCAATATGTACATATAGAGAATTAAGACAAAAAAAATGATTGATAATATTTTTTATTCATTCTTAAATTTTGTTTTTTTGCTCGTCTATTCTCTGTCTCAATTTTCTTTACTTTTTTATGGTTCTTATACGTCTCTTATTTTCTTACAAACTGCATGTTGTTCTCTCATGAAATGAGATTTTTTATTTTTTGAATGATAATTTTTTTTTGGCAAACATACATCTGAAACAGATAGTAGAATACGTGTGCAGAAACTTTTTAATGTTGGAATTATTTTCTACAACAATAACAACAACAAAGTTTTTTGTTATATTTGTAACATCGCGCAATGAGTTGTAGTTTGCCAAAAAATAAACAAAGAAAAATAGTATTTTTTAAAAAATAAATCAGAAAAAAAACAGTATCTGACCAAAAATCGGATGCTACTTGAGAATGTTTGACAATAGTTTAGAATAGGAAGTAAGAAATGTTCCATTACCAGGCTGAACGTAAGTTCCGGCTAATTACTAAATTTGATAAACATCGAAAACAGTTTGATCTTCCCGTCTTCATAAAAATGCTTTCATTTTCGGCAAAATACTTTCGTTTTTAAAAATCTTCAACATTTATTTCAAGTCTAAAAGTGAAAATACTGAAAATTACCTTCTCGAATAATTTGCGGGACGCTGTATGAGCTACAAATGCGCTTCGAACTGCATATGTGTAAGTTTTTTTACCATAACGCATGTGTAGAAGATGCAGCTAATCACTGATTGATCGATAATAATTAATAGGGAGCCTTTAACCGAGTTTTATAAACTTGGTTAACTTAATCAAGTTAGCAAATTGCCAAACTGAGTTCTTAAACTAAGTTAACAAACTGAGTCACATGGTACACAAGTTCACACAGGACACGGTTGGAAAGATTAGAAATCCTAATCTTGTTCAAGGTGGTATTCTTATTCTGGTTATCGTCTCATTTAATCCGGTACAGCGCGGTCCTTGTCCTACAGTTACTACTATGCCTAATAGACTTCTTTATCAACGCGCTCAAGCTCTTCTCACTCCGAAGAACTTCTCGATTTCACAATTCCAATGCATCATCGTTCGTTTGATGATTTTCTTGATCATTTACTCTTTGCTCGATGTTCTTTACAATTAATCAAAGCCGAACAGACTACAGTCCAAAATCCATTGGCAGAACAAATGCAACAAGGTACAATAACTGTAGACGAATTCGCTCGAGCACGAACATTGGGCATTCGTAGCTGGTCAGAATTTACATTGGAACAAGCCCTAGCACAATGCACACAGAGACACAACCATCAATCAGTTTTGGGCTATGTACGAAGAACAAATCAAGCAACAACCCGAACAATATTCCAATCAACTCGTACTGCTAGCGAATTATAACTCGTAATGCTCGTAATAGAGTAGGAGGAGTAAATAACTCGTAATGCTAGCGAATGGCGGATGTCTCTGGAAAATGTCTGACTATTTTGGTATAAAAAAACAAAGGTTAAGCTTTTTTCTGAAATCTCTTCTGTCGTAAATAAAATATTTATATTTAATGTTTTTCTATATTCTTTGTTTAATAATAGATGCTGATTAAAACTTCATAACATAAAATCATAACGATTGAATATACAAATGAATTAAGTCAAGTATATAGAGTCTTGCGGGACAAACTTTTCTGTTGTCCTGTCCCGTAAGCCCGCCCCCGTGAGTAAATAATGTTACCCCGAACCCGTCTATACCGTGAAAAAAATTAACGGGCTTTTTTGTCCCGTCCTATTTGTCCAGTAACTTTTTGAAAATTTTATTCTACTGTTATTTACAGTAACTGTTGCAAGAGACGCTTAAAGTCTCAAACTTATTTTTGCAAAAAATCCTCATGACCAAATTTAAGCCTGATTTATTGACTGAACGTTCTGAATGAAGGAAGTAATGTCGCAGTTTGAACCTACCAAGAAGATACGAATATGCGGACGGATCAGATTCTGTTCTAGTATTATGTGGTCATGAAATTCAAGGTATTTGCAAGTATAAGTGCTGTAGAAATAGATATTGGTAGTAGTTGCCGAGCAAGTACTGCACCAGTAAGGTGTAACTCCTGCTGTATCTAAGAAATCGAGAAATTTTTTTGTCTTCTTTTGCTATAAACAGTCTTTGCTCTGTGCCTGTCTAAGGATATAAAAACAATAAAAACTTGTAATAACTTCTAAGTGTAGTCTCTATAAGGCAAGGGCAGTAGTTGCTTAGTAAGTACTGATTACTGAGGAAGAACTTACTTAGTAAATAGTGCTGGGTTTTTCTTCGATGCAGACTGCAGCTATAAAAGTTTTTGAAAAATAATCTGAGTTTTATCTTTATAAGACAAGACGTCCTTACTCATGAGTAGAAGTTTCCTTACGAACTAAGTCCTTACTGCAGTAAGGACTTAGTTCGTAAGGAAACTTCTTCAACTTCTTTCTTCAAGTAAGGAAAGTAGAATCCTTCTGAGTCTGTATTGAAGAAACGTATAGCAGTCATTCCTTACTAAGTAAGTTCTTACTGAGTAAGGACGTCTTGTCTTATAAAGATAAAACTCAGATTATTTTTCAAAAACTTTTATAGCTGCAGTCTGCATCGAAGAAAAGCCCAGCACTATTTACCAAGTTCTTCCTCAGTAATCAGTACTTACTGAGCAACTACTGCCCTGGCCTTATAGAGACTATATTTAGAAATAGGTGTGGCTGTTTACTTGCTACTCGGTGTTACTTTACCAGTAAAGTAACAAAAATTTATTACTTGTTACTAGTAATTAGTAACAACAGATGCTAATTAGTTACTTTGTTACTAGTAACAGTGATGGTAAACAGCCAGCCCTAATTAGGATTAAACTAAGTTAAAATGTGTCGTGTGAACGTGGCTTAAGCAACAAACAAATAAAAGTTACTTCGATACAATATTAGATTAGATCAATGGATGAATATCCTAAAAATTTGTTCTCCATCCGTTGCACGTTCTTTTTATCTCCAATGTAAAGCATAGCCAGAAATGCTTAGGACCTAGCGTGAGAAATACAGCGATAATATCTATACGAGAAACGTTTTTTGTGTTGAAAAAACTAAACGTATTTTTAGACGTTCAATATAGTCACTCACTTACGTCTATTTCGTATAATCCTAGTTATGTATAAACAAACTTTTTCAATAATAAATCCTAACGGTGATGTCTGCGCGTCTTTATGAATAAATTTTTCGTGATTCTTTATTTTACAAATTGAGAATCTCATCTTACTATTTATCTTAACAAATACAAGGAAGCAAATATTTTTGATGATTAAATACCCAGAATGGATTAATTGCCATATGAACTTACATGTAAGAGGCTTGATTTGTCACCTAGATTCAAAGATTGTTGGGTAAACTTATTCCTCTACGAAGCGGTAGAATGAAAAAATTTTATTTATTAATAAATAAAATAAACACTTACAATACTAAAAACAGGTAACAACATCAAAAGGGATATATAAAAAATAACGATATGGTTTATGCAACGAGTGCCTTTCGTTTAGTTAAATTTAATTTATAGACAATTGTACTCAACAATGTTAATGTTAGACGCAGCATAGACATTAATGTGTGACGTAATCGGAATGATTTGAAAAATAGCAATTTCAAAACAAGCATGACAAGTGAAAAAAAGAGAATATTTTGAATGCGTTTCAACCTAAACAAGCCAGAGTATAATAGACAAAGAGTAGAGTGAGCGAGAACTATATACCTTCGATAATGCGCTTGACATTTTGGTATATGAGTAAAATCTTCACGTAAAATATACTTTTTAGCTCCTATACAATAATTCTCCCAATACGTCGACCAATTCATGCCTTTCAAATCAAAATTAAACAGCTAAAATGGTAAGAGAAAACACTATACACGCTGAAGAACCAAATTTACATAACAGGGATGGCGCATGGTCTAGGAACTAGTTACTGTCCGCTAGTTATATTGATAGGCAGCTCATTGATTATGAGTGTCCTAAACTAGCTGCTTATGATAGCTCTCGATCAGTCTGTCAGATCAATTACTTACAAGATAATCATGACATTTGTTATATTCATAAAAAGATTTGACAAATTTTAGTAGAAATATTTTCAAAAATTTGGCGAACAGTGACAAAACGTAGGGAGGGAGATCTTCACTTCTCCACCCTGTTCGGAACTCCTATTAGGCAGAGATGGGCGAGTCATTTAAAGAATCTTATTACAGCTTAAAAGTTTCGAGCTACTTTTAGTGATGCTTGATTCAGATTTGTTTGGGCTACAAAACACTAAAAGTATATCGATAAATTTTGTCACCTTCATACACTCGACCTCGGCACTTAAACGACCTTCTTTAGAACTTCGGAGTCAGTGCTTTCAAGTGGCGCGATCGAGTGTATGAAGGTGGCAAAATTTATCGATGTACTTTTATTGTTTTGTAGCCCAAACAAATCTGAATCAAGCATCACTAAAAGTAGCTCGAAACTTTTTAGCTGTAAAAACTTCTACAAGATTCTTTAAATGACTCAAGAAGATGACTCGCTCATCTCTGTCATTTCATCCATCCAGTAAAAGTTAAATCAAAGAGAAACAAAGTGTTCTCCTGAAACGTATTTAAAATAAATAATCATTTTCTTTCCTTACTTTTAAATCGGTATCATTCATTTCATTTTGTATTGCTAAACTGTTGTTACTTGGAAAATCCCATTGATGACTAGTAAAAAAGTCTAATGTTCTAACAGACTTATAAATTTTATAGGATAGATTAACAAATCTAAACAGAAGCGATGAATTTACAACAGAAATCTTGTACGTTGGATTATTGACTCACATAGGCTTTCGTCCAATTAAACGTATATAAATGTCGAGAAGGAACGCTGGTAATATTTCTTCTAGCATTCGACGAGAAAAATAACGAAATCTAACCAGAGAAGAAAACAAATGGCAGTGAATTAGAATACGTGCAAACATTTGAGATTGCATTTATTATTACCTATTACCGTCGAATATTAGACGTGGATATGCGATACTGTTTTCAAATGGAATTGTATCCAAATGTTCGAGACCATATTGAACTAGTAATAATATATAAAAAATATTCTATAGCCATTTTTCTTCTAGAATAGAACTGCTGTTACCACGTACCAACTCGACCCCATGATAAACTGCGTCTATTTGCACAACAATGATAAATAACCATATCCTTCGGACGTTTAATTGCTGTATGCCACGCAATTGCTAACATCATATTAACAACAATATCAACCGGTATAATATCAGCTCGAGCATCACTGTTACCTAACATGGCTCGTAACATGCCTTTTCCAATCTAAAGTAATTTATCTTATTTTCAACGACAATAATTTTCATTGTTAATATTATTATATTACCGATACAAGAAGACCAGATGGTCCATTATAATTGTCAATCCAACCCTATAAGACCCATATTTACATCGTCTTACAAAATTATGTTTTTGTTCGATACATACTGGAAATGGTTCCTTCCATGAAGCACCAACAATCGATGGTCTAATAATGGCAATTGGCAAATGTACTCCTTCTTGTGAAATAACATATTCAGCTAGAGCTTTTGTATATGTGTAAGTATTTGGGCGATCTTTAATTATTTTTGTTGTTAATACATCGAATACACTATCATCCATCCATTCAGAAGCATCTAATAATTTTGTCGGTTGAATAGGAGGTGGATAAATGACTTCGGCACAATCAGTACGATTACAATTAGCATAAGCTGTTGATACATGAACAATAGCCTAGAATAAGAGAATTGCTAAGTTCCTGTTAAAATTTAGTATCTTCCAATGATCTATCCACTTTCAGCCATTCGAATCAAGTCATACCTGTAGTTTTTTCATTTTGTGACATAGCGTCAATAATTTTTTAATCGACGCTACATTCATTTGTATTGCTAATCTAAAGAAAAAAAAGATATTTATTTCATAAAACTGAGAAGCGAGAAGTATTCGAATGCAATAGAAAAACATGAATAGGCGGCTTGTAACAAGAACGTTTGTATTTGTAGCTCAGCCACCAAGAGATGTAAGAGAAACCTACCAGAAAGTTTTCTCTTATATCTCTTGGTGGCTGAGCTGTAAAGTGTAGCAAGTTGCCTATTGCAGAAAAAAATTATAATTATCAACCATTTTGTCTTTTTAGAAAGTTTATCTACTTTACCGTAATGGTTCGTGAAACCGAATTGTCGCTGCCGAATGAAATACAACGTGACATTGTTCAATTAATGTATACTCATCGGTTGATGAAAGACCAAAATTTTGATCGAGAATATCTCCTTGAATTGGTATTATTTTCTTTTCAAATGATGGATTAATTTGACGAATTGTATTAAACAACTAGAAATAAATAGAACTAGTTCAATTGAACAGATACAAGATAAGTCAAAAACGATCGTTCGGATCCATCAGAATGCAGCATATTTCCGACTGCTAATATCCAGCCTGATGCGACTATCGAAATCCGGGATTATCTCTTAACATTCAGCTATTTTCGACTACAGGATCTGACAATACTTAGAGACTGAATCCACGAAAACTCGGCAATCGAAATTCGACCTGAATCAATGGGAAACAGGAGATTATTCTATAATATTAGAAGGTTTTGAGTAAAACTTTTGTTCAATGTATAATCTGAGTTTTTACGCTTGAAAGCATGTAATTTATCCTTGTTTAACACGATCTTGGATGTGTTCATGATGTTAGTCTCCTCTAAAGAGCTTTTTTTCTGAAGCTAGATGGCACACTGATTTCACCGTGTTCTACCTGATTTTCTCGTCAAGTACATGGTGCAATCAACGCGAATGACTAACCAACACGAGTACTCAGCAATTTTATTTTTGCATGCTCCCCCATCGTCTAAAGTCTTTGAAATGCTGGTTATCATATGAAGTATTTTTACTTATTTTTTTAGGTAACTTTATTATGAAAAAAGTCAAGTGTTTCGTATATAAGTATATAACAATTCTTTTTGTTTATTTTCTAAGCAATCGAGTGATCGATCCTTACTGTATGTTTGAAATTTTTTTAGACATACATTTTTCTTATAATTCAGATTTCTTATTTAAAAGAGTGAAACAGATAGATATAACAGATACTAATGGTGAATGAAGTAGAAATAATCGAGTGAGAGTGATTAGGTAGTTCAGGGCGGATCTATGCAACAAAATTGAGTAACTGAATGGTGTTATCGACCACCAGGATGATCATTTTTTGCTCAAGAGAGTCCGTCTGGATAGACAATCAAATGAACAGATCTGACAATATTGTTGAGGCTAGGATTATTTGCGAGAGATTCTTTGACTAACAGTCTATATTCTATTGAGTTTTTGGATTGTTTTCCAGTGATTCTTTCAAATGTGACATGAAAATATCTGCAATGACTGGGCCTAATGGTGAATCCATAAAAACGCCCTCAATTTGTTCATACAATATGCCGTTAAAATAGACATGAGTAGAGGTGGTAGAAATTTTAAGTAAATTTAGAAAATTGCGTTTATCCATACAAGTTTGACAAAGTTTATTTCGCTTACGATGATCACATTTATCACATTTGTCATATAATTTATCGAGAATGAGATCAATTGTGTATCGTAAAGGAACTTTGGTGAAAAGGTTCTTGATATTAAAAAAATACATGTTCAACGCTAGGTGCGACCGATTGTAATTTTTGACAGTACTAGAGAATTTAAATGAATCTTTAACCATCTTTTACGTATTTCTCAAATGAGATAATCTATTTGCTAGCATCCGAGCAAGTCCATAATTGAAAGTCTTTGTTGATAAAATAATCGGACGAAGTAGACGATTGTCCTTATGTATTTTTGGTAAACCATATATTCGCGCAGCTCCAGAACCGACAGGTCTAGCCATTCTGTATTCTTGCTCGGTAACTAACTGTATAGTTTTCTTGAAAATGACTATAATAAGAGACTGAAACGTAGAGTATGTTATCTAATAAAGAATAAATTATTCGACAATTATGGCTATTTTCCGCAAAACTGAGTGATTTCGCCTAAGATCCAACATGATTCTCTCTATTCTAATGAAAGATTCTAATAGACTCCGTCAAATTCTGACACGCGGAACTCGGAAGTCCGACTAGAATCCAACACTTTCTGACACGATCTGCTATTCGAATTCTCTAACATGGATATTGTTTCGAGATGGAAAACTTACCGGACCAGCACATAGTTGTTTTACTCTTTCAACAACACCTTGACCACGTTTTGGTCGAACAAGAATGAAAATTTGTTCAATATCTTGAAGAAAAACGCAATATTAAACTTAGCACAAAAAAAGTAGAGCATGTTGTCATACCTGGACATGAACGGATTAATTTTTCCACAAGTTGTTTTCCAATAAATCCAGTGGCCCTTTGAAAAGAAACGAAAAAATTCCCAATACTAAGATTTAAAGAATGATCAATCCTCTTACCCAGTTACAAACACCGACTTTTTGTGAAAAAAATCTGCGATAGCACTAGTCTAAAAGTAACACAATTTTAGACTCTTGATCTTAACATACATCTAAAACTACTTACTTCTACACTGGCCGACATGTTCAGATCTGAAAATTGATCAACAAGACATATATCAATACTCTAGAAATACTTTTTTTTTCGAAGTTCTACTCTCATTTCGTGCACCTAAAAACTTCGGAGCTCTAATATAGCTATAAAATATTATCCAGTAAGAATTTAATTTGAAAAAAAAAAACCAAGACAGTAATGTTACAAAAAAAATATTCATTGTCAGTTATAAAAAAAAAAGATTATAAATAGGTAATTCAAAAATAAATTGCTTTAACAACTTTATCTAATCACATATGCATAGTGCACACAATAAGCATAAGAACATATTAATAAAACAACAACAGTTTTTACCTCGTTAATTAGAAAAAATAGTAATAAAAGAATCACATGAAATTAATGATAAAAATTAAAAGATTTGAAAAAAAAGAGAACATGAAACTAGTAATAATAAATATATGTATAAATAAATATTCAGAATAACAAAAAAGTTACTGCGAAAAAAATAATAAAACATCCGTATGGACGGTGAGTCTTGGATGTCTAAATAATTAGCACGACTAAACGTCTTTAATTACGATCATTTAGAAGAAGAAAAATAAGATAAAATAACAAAATAAAAAGAAAAATGGAAAATTTGTTCATCACTTTGTCTTTATACATGGCTAAAAATAATAACATACGATAAGCACCATGATCTATTTCACAAGATGCACACTGAAAAGAAAGAAAAGTTTGTCAGCGTTGCTCCTGTGGAGTAAAAAGTATGAAAACTTCCGTGATCTTTACTAGGAGCAGCAAGCCTTCTAGCAAAAATACATATAAAAAAATTAATATTTTCCGAGATCCATTTTCCCCTAGGATTTTCTCTATAAAAATAAACTTCAAACTTCCATCTGCTTCGGAGAATGGACGTGTCCTTGGAAGTTTTCAAAAAATACACAAGCATAACAGCTCTTTGACTCACAACTTTTCAAAGATACATATTCTCATGCTCACTTTAAGGAAGTTGATTGAGAAAAAGACAGTTTTACACTTCTCTAGCAACATTTAGTGACAGCTGGGTCATTTTTTCGGATGTCAGAAAAAGCTTTTAGTTTACACACGAAAGAAAGTTCATAAATGTAATTTATCTCATGATCTTGCTAATTAAAATAGGAGCAACCGTTCATGCTTTAACAATATTGCAGAAGTTGCTTCCATGAAGCATTGTTTTCTAATCTACTTTACCTTAACAAATCATTAGATTTATCATGAGAAAATATAAACAAAATCACAACCATATTCGTTGTATTTAAGACCTAAACAAACGAAAAAGTAAGAGATGTATGATTTATTGATTTAGAAACTACCATTTCTGTCATTTGACAGAAATTTGACTTCGCCGATTTACCTATTATTATTATGATACCTTGATCCTCTATCATGTGAGCTTCGTGGTCGTTCCCTTGAATTATATCGTCTTTGTCCGTCGCTATTATTATTATTCCGTCGTTGTGATTGTACTGGTGAACGAGATCTAAACCATTTTAAAATTATAATCATTTACCAAACGATTAATATTTATAGCCATAAATCCAAACACAACAACAACAGACCATTTTCGTGCAGACACGAACACTTCCACATACACATGCATGTATTTTCAAAGCAAACGATCATCTAACTACAAATAGTGGTATGTAGTCAAAAACAATACATCCACATATGGATATACCACATATGTTATTCCAAACCCACATATGGAAAATAACACCAGAACCGTCTAAATCCAACTGCGAGAACAATTTTCTCCTTCATCTTTCTTAAATTTTTCCATACACTGTGTATTTGTCAAGGCTGTGTGTGTGAGTGTGAGCTATTCAAGAAATACAACTGATATAGAGGCAAATAAGCACACTCAAACGTCACTTCTATCGAGTACAGGACAGATAATATTTTCTATTTGATTGTTTTTGTTCTTTGAATCTTATTTACCTTGATTGCCGACTGTTATATCGTCTACTATGTCTTGCAGTCTTATCATTGTCTCTTCGGCGTGATGAGGATCTTGCATGTGATAAACCTTCGCAATCACGGCTAAAAATAAAATTTACTAGATTTTCATTGACCGTATTCTCTTTGCATTGTTACCTAAAATGTCCTCGTTGACCACATTGATAGCAAGACATATTTGGATCATATCTTCGTGGACGATTTCTTATACGAGGACCTGAAAAGAAAAACTATGATACTAAAGCTTTTCTTAGGTTTTAGGAAGGTGAATACTCACGAGCCCACGTAACACGTATTCTGGTACCATTAAATGACCTCAATAATAAATAGGAATTACATTCGAAGGAAACCAGCTGATGCTTTTAGGTAGTGACAGTCGAACATAGCTCTTCGTGTACGTCTTAGTGAATTTTTAAGAGATTAACTTCCGCGGAGTGATTGTTTGTTCAAAAATGGATACTTAGGCTTCATTACCTCCCGTCCATAATGTCAACTGCTTTTTGAGCTTCCTGCTTGTATTTATAAACTACAAATGCAAAACGTGACGCTTGTGCATGCCATACTTCTAAAAATATCGCAAACTACAGATTACAAAGGTTGAATACTGCATTGTTGATACTCACCAAGTATTTGTCCAAATTCTGAAAATGATTTTTCAATTTCTTTTTGTTTACAAGCTGACGACAGTTCGGCAATGTGAATTCGAAATTGATCATCTCGATCATTGTGACTATTTTCATGATTATCATCATTACTGTGATGGCGTGAATGATAATCGGACGGTGATGGCGAACGAGGAGTAGGTGATCGTGAACGGGGCATTATTTTTGTCTGGAATATAGAACAATCATTCAAATTACTATATGTGATACCAGTAAAACTACACTCAAAGTGCAGAATATGTTAGCTGACGCGTTTAGATAAGTTATGTTTAGAAGATGAAGTATCAAAGTCACATTTGTCGAGCTCCGAACTATAGGATTCTACTATTCAATTATTTTCTCTACTCTAAGGTTCTTCATCGAATATACAATCTATTATAAAAGCAGCATTATAGTTTATTAATAATCGACGAATGTTTTTGAAAACAAAAGCACAAATAATCTTACAAATAGTTATGTATCGTTTACAACACTGGTATTGTATAAAAAGCTGTAGTAAGAAATTTCTTAAAGCAGGATTAGTTTAACGCTGTTTCTTTATTAACATGACAAAAACAAATAGAAGAATACGTTTTTTTCTTTTGTCATATATATATATATATAGATTAAGAAACATTATTTTTGTTTTGTAACAACAGATAATCAACATGTTTTACAAAAAACCAAGAAAAAAATAGACGTGCTCAGTTTTAACATTTAATCCACACAATGATACTTTGATAAGTACAAAAAAAAAACTGAAAATAAAAAATAAGATAAGTGGCGCTTTATTATATTCAGAATATGACAAAACAGCGAACAAAAACTTTGAATTATGCGCTACGGAGAATAGCAACGAAACAAAGCATGCAATTTCATCCCCAATTAGGCTTATGAGAAATAAGATAAAATAGTCATATACATATACACTTCAATTTGATTGAATAATCGTCTAATGACATCATCATAGAAAAACAACATAGAGCAAATACAAATGATTATTCATTCCATTAGTAAATTTTGGAAACACAGTTCCTAATTCAGACTTTGAATACGTGGTGGACTAAACGATGAAAAAAACAAACAACGTATTGTACACGCATTGTGACATTTAAAAATATGTACGGTTAAGATCTTCCTCAGCAAGTTTTAAAGTACAAATATGTGCATTGTCATTTAGATTGTTAGTCAACGACTAACTAATCGGTCGTTATCTAGTTTATTATGTACATTTTTTGTTTCCATTATCTAGACTTTGAATCAAACTTTCTTCATTTAGGAGAATTCTGAGTAAAAATAAGAATCAACGAAAAGGCATATGAGAAAAAGTCAGAATGACAGAATGACAGTCAATAAACAACCATTATTAAGAGGGTATTTATTCTCATCGGAAGGAGTAAGAAATCAAAATCATTAGAAAATTGTATTACAAGTATAATAAATTCATTTTTAACTGAAATCGACATGAACGATTTATACATACCTTGTATAATATCCAGGTGACCGACGTCTAGGAGTTCGACTTCTTGTACGACTAAAATGGAAAAAAGGTTAAAAATTTGTATATAAATATTAATAGAACAACCTTGAACGACGATCTTCGCGAACAACTTTGCCACGAGGTGACGCAGAACGCGTACTAAAATAAACAATAAAAAATACTTTCTAAGAACATGAAACGTAAAAGAAAAATATTAATCTTCTACTTACCGACTTCTTGTATAACTACGATGTCTAGATCTTGATGTCGAACGATCGCGTCGATTTGAACGTGATCTAAAAAACAGATAAATATATGCTCAAACGAGTTAAAATACACGAACTAAATGACTTAAAATTAAAACCCATGATCCTTTCTGCTACTGTTCAAGGGTATTTTTTATATGTTACCTTTACTAATCACGGAACCATCAATCCAGACCAGACAAAACAACAACGCACGCGTCCAAATAACGAATCCAAAGCCCCAATGAATAAAGCAAGTGTGCCTTTCTTTCTTTTCTTTTTTTTTTAACCAAACTGAGTTCTTTTTCACAAGAGAGATAAAGAGAGCGAACAAATTGTATGTGTTAGTTCCTAAACGCTCCATATTGTATGTCCAAAAACCATATCTCTAACTGAGAATATACACACGGCTCAACCTGCTGCTGCTGCTACTCAGAGCACCATTAAAATCCAACATATACGTGTGTATGTGTGCCTTATGTCATTTGGATAATTACAATCATCCATAATCTGAAGTTTAAGAGAGAGAAGGAAAAATAAATAATGAAGAAAAACCTATGGGGAAGGAGAGAGATTGCTTTTTCAGTTTTTCAAACACGTGAAGCAAAAAAATTCAGTGCACTTTTTATTTGTCTTATTTTTTAGATACAACTTACCTCGATCGTCGTCCATTTCCACTGTATCCACCACCATTTCTACTTTTCTTTTGTGACCAAAAATCATTACAATCTCGGCTAAAATGTCCTTTTTGTCCACATTGATAACAACGCCTATATGAAAATTTTTTACAAATTTAATCTGCTGAAGATTTGCATATATGAACTTACATATTTGGATCCCATCTTCTTTTGCCTCCTCTCGTTCTTGGTCTTGCCCATGATACTCGAACACGACTTCCACCAATAAATCTAGAAGAGAAATTTAATAATACAGCAGAATATGGGAGATAATTTGTCTTACCTTCCATCTAATTCATCAATCGCTCGTTGCCCATCTTCACGATATTTGACAACGATGAATGCAAAACATGACGCTTGAGCATGCCAGACATCCGAAACTGGGCCATATTTTTCTACAGCTTTTTCGAGATCACGTTTCGTAACATTCGGTGATAAATCAGCAAAATGTAAACGAAATGGTTCATCTTCACGAAAACGATCGTTTGACCGTGAACGAGAACGATCTCCATCTCTAGGAGACGGTGAACGGCTATATACGGGCATCTTTGTAGTTGTGGATTATTGTTATTCAAGAAAAATGAATATGTTCTAAAAATAGAAACAAAAATCAAAGTCCTGATTTACGAAAACAAATGAGAGATCTAAAAAACCAAGCAGGTAACAGCAATTTTGACGTGCAATGTTTTCGCTTAGAAGAACACAAGAGAAAAATACACATGGAGAAAGTTTCTCCATGTGTACTGTTTCTCCGTGACTTTAGTCATACAAAAAGCTTTTGCATTCCATCTGTCTACAAAAAATAGAAAAATGTCCGTCAGATACTTCTATGAACGACTAAATCAGAAAGGAAGAGCAATAGAAGCTACCGGTTAATGCAGTTATGAAGAAGACAACTAACACACAATTGACAAGTGTGTTAGTCTCCGCAACTAAACTTGCGGAGTTCACCAAAATTTAGTGACTAGAAAATTAATTTTAATAATAAACTGAATAAAGAGCGCCACTTTGTTAATAGCAAAGTAATGATAACATAATGTCAATCGATCACTACTTTTATTTAAACACACACATGTAACGACACCACAAAAAAGTATTATGCATGTGTACCATAATACAAGCAAAGACTGACCGAAGGAGGCTTGGGTTTGGCTACGAGAAAAGTGATCGATACTTCCAAAAGTTTAGGAAAATTTTTAAACAAAATGGCGCAGAAAAATTTCCATGAAAAAATAATATTAGTTTGAAAATTTTTCCTAAAGTTTAGGAAGTAAAATAGAAAATCTTCCAGGTTATCGAGTGTACTGAATACCAAAAAACACTTTTCAACAACTCAAAACCAACTTTATTTTTTTTCCGGTGATATGCCTTTTTACTAAAGTTCATCCAGTTGTTGTGTTGCATCAAAAACAGTAGATAAGATAACTAAACGTTCTCTGATCCACTTTTTATATAATATGTATACAAGGTACAAAAGCAGACATTACACATGCTCTATACCTCTACTCTTTATTCTTCTCTGGAAAAGTGAACTATCATGAGACATTTTTGTAGTACATGAGATACAATCTGATCGTTTGTTTATTTCCAAAGAGAACAAAAATTATCTATAAGGATCGAAGAAAATCCTAAGAGATGTCGCGTGTATACGAAGAATGTTTGATTACCGAGACATGTATATAACAGTTGTTCTTTCCGCTCGATAATACCAAGGTTGCTTAAATAAGCTACTTTCACATCGGGTATTAAATTAACAAAAAAGTAATTTTAATTTGCAATAAAACTTGTGCCTGGAAAGTTTAGCAAGTATATTTTGTTAAAAAAGGTCAAAAAGATATTTAGTTATATCTTTTTGACGTTTTTCAACAACATGTACAAGGTATATGTATAATTTATAAAAAAATATACAGAAATCACGACGTCATGATAATTATTAGCGGCTCTTGCAACGACGAGCCGTTTAGATGTTGCGAGTAAGGTAGGAGATGAAATTTTCATTCATTTATTGATAAAATTTTCAAGATCAGCAGAAAGAAGTCGAGAATTACCATCGAGTTTTTTTTCAATTTCTGTAAGATCTACTGTTATTAGTGTTGGAACAATTTTATCTCTAGAAAAAATACGTCTATACCTTATTCTGTAGTCCGTTGAATTCTGCATCGGGTGATTCCCACGGGATGTATACCGGACTTTACAGCGAAGTCTGGCGCATTAGTCGAGACCTATCTCATTCGAAAGAGCATCAAATTCTGAGCCAGGAAATGTATTTTTAATTTTCTAAGTCGATGCGAACAGGT